TACTTGAATTTCAAGTATATTTTTAATACATTTAATACTACGTCTTTTTCACCTGGGTAGGATTTACACAAGCTTCAGTCTGTATCCAGAACACCTGAGAAGAGATGATGCCAACCCCTCAGAGGACCTCAGATGATGCCAACCCTGAAACAACATACAGAACTACCACATTTTGCTATAAGTTTGATTGCATCATATAATAATTGCTGTTAATAGTGTTCATCGTCTGTTTGATTACGTCTTTAATTGATTTTTCCGTACATTTCTGCCATATGTACATTAACTCAGTCACCACTGATAAGCTACTACTAAATATTGTAGAAACTTAACTTTCCGTAAAGTTGCTTTGCAACGATTTGTATCGTGAAAAGCGCTGTACAAATAAACTTGAATTGAATTGAATAGCAATATATGCAATTGTTTAGACCTGAACAACCATCAATCATTAAATTAACCCTTGCATTGAGTTTCTCAATGAGGCTGTTAAGCTTTATAATAAATGCACCAATTCAGCTAGAATCTAGAGGTACTTGCATTGCTGTTTAGAGGTTCCCTTTGTGGTGGTTGTTGCAGAAAGGGGTTTCCCAATGTTGTTGATTGGCTGGAGGCGTTGGCTGAAGGATGGTGCAGAGTCAGTGGGCTGGTTAAAGTTTTGGGGTAAGCACAGTCGGAGTTGGACACAGCTTTGCGGCAAAACTTAACTCAGAACACGAAACTAAATGGAAAAGAAAATAAATTAAAGTAGAAGACAGAAAGAAAAGTGACGAGACTAGATGGCGTACATCCTCATGGTTTTTAGAGGGGCAGCTGGCGTGCAAGCCAGAGCACGCTGAAAAGCGCTTGATGGCAAAAGCCATGACAAAAAGCCCAAAAGGCAAAAAGCATGGCTAAAAGCCAAAGAAATGGCAAAAAGTGTAATTTGTTGTTGTCCTTAGTTTTTAAACTGGGCTGTTGGACACATCCCAAATGGTGTCTTGACCAATTAGACATTGTCTTAGCTCGGCATGTTATCATGTTTCTCCTACCAACTCCTACATAAATCAACATGTTATCTTATCAGTCACATGGTACGAATTTTCCCGCTCTTGCAGAGTATAATTTGGACATGATTTCTATAACGAGAATATAATACAGTTTAACAAAGAATTAATTGATAGATACGTTTAAAGCATGAATATTCACACACACACATACTAAACACGACTATAAACCTATAAACTATTCAAGTTATTCAAAATGACATACACAATGAGTGATTAGGACATGATAGTCAAATGTGTGGGTTACATACATGATATGGAGTTATGTATAGAAGTGATGGTTGCTCATAAGTCCTTTTAGAATCATTTTGGTGCATATATACATGTAAAGGCAGTCTCTGTGCCATTCTGTGAACGTGAGGACGTGTTCAAAAGGGTCTAGAAGGAATCTCAGACTGGTTCTTGTCTTCTAGGTGGGGGAAGTCAATCTGAAGAAGTCTTTAGCTCATGATTTCTATCATGGATTTACATGTGATGGTCATCAATCTCTTTGACCATCAATATTGGTTACTTGCCCCAAATTTAACAATCTCCTTCCTGAGTTAGAATTATCAATAAGTGTACTTTTGTGTTAATGTTGCAAGCTGTTTAAAGCTGCTAGTTGGTTGGTTAGGCTTACTTCAGGCTGGCTGGCGCTAGGATCTGATTTACAATCATTCATGTTGTCTTGGGCCTCTTTGTGGAATTCGGCTCCTCGTGTTTCAACTATGTTCTGATCGAATCTTAAATTGTCTGTTTCACTCTGAAACGCTACAATGTGAAGCATAGTCAGATTAAGTAGTATCTACTGCTAAAGGGCATATTTGGCAGAATCACTGATACTACCTCAAACATTTAAGGTATCTCACACTTGAAATAATTAACACTGGATCATTCTAAACCCCAGGTAAATGGGATGCTGGGTAATCTTATTTTAAAGTTTCACACTGTTCATACTTTACCCAGAGTTAACAATTAATCCTGGTCATTCATAATCTGACATGTCACACTGTACATTCCTAAACCCTGGGTTACTGTTATTATTTGCATATTTGATAGTGTCAACAGTGATGACTAGATAAACACAAAACCATATTTGTTTTTTTTGACCATTGAAAATGGATAGGACACAACAATTTGGACATGGAGCTGCACCGAGATCTCGATATCTCTAGGATTAAGCCAGGGTTAGGGTTTAAAGCCATACAAGGCCTTAAAAATGAAGATTCCAAAAGAAACGTTTCTCAGGAACCAGAATCTAAAATCATATTAAGATAACTTTAATACTTCTTGGGTTACAGGCACGCAAATTTTGGAAAAATAATATTTATGACACTCAAACTGGTATTTCCTATACAATTTTGACAGAAGGAAATAAGATACATCTCTAGTTTCAACATTATTTGTCTCCAGACATTACTCTTTAAAATAAAAAAATATATTTTTGCAAAGTGACCTACAATTGGTTTTTGACCTCTGAAAATGTGTACAATTTAACGATTTATTCCTGGAGACA